CACACTCACACACACACACACACACACACACACACACGCGCGCACACACACACACATTCTCACACACTCTCTCACACACACGCACACTCTCACACACTCTCACACACTCTTACACCCACACACTCTCACACACTCACACACACTCACACACACACTCACACACTCTCGCATTCACACACACACACACACACTCACACACACTCACACACTCACACACACTCACAGACTCACACACTCACACACACTCACACACACACACACTCACACACTCACACACTCACACACTCACACACTCACACACTCACACACTCACACACTCACACACGCACACACTCACACACTCACACACACAGACGAGGGAGGAGAGGAGACCCCCCTTCCCTCCCCTGGGAGGGCGAGACGCGCACGAGGGAGGGGAGGAAGGCAGCACGCGCGAGGGAGCGACGCACGCGAGGGAGGGGGGAGGAGGTCCACGCGAAGGAGGGGGAGGGCGCCACGCGAGGGAGGGGCACGCGCGCGAGGCATAGGGCGAGGCCGCCCTCCCGCCCGGGGGCCTCGAGGGGGGAGGGGGGGCACGCGAGGGAGGCCTCGGGGGAGGAGGGGGGGGCTCCTGCCCTCCCCTGGGAGGCGAGAGGCATGCACGAGGGAGGGGGCACAGAAGCACACGAGGGGGAGACACACACGCGAGGGAGGGGAGAGCCGCGCGAGGGAGGGGAAACCTTCTTCTTCTTCGTCGTTCTCGTCGTCATCCTTCTCCCTCCTCCTCTGGGACAGCAGCAGGGATTACGAGCACCGAGTACGAATCATCATAACAAGACGGGGGATACTCAGAATAGTAATAATCATACGAAGAACGCGATGGGCAGTACTGATGATACTTTGCATGCTACTACGAATTACGAATAATAATGCTACGACTAATAAGAGTAGTACTACGACGAGCAACGCTATTAATAATACGAAACAGTAGAATACGGAGGAGGAGAGATGAAGGAGAACAACGAGTCCCTCCTCTCCTCCGCTTTCTCTGTTTCTCTAGGACCCAGCGCAGGAGGGCGACAAGGTAGCGATGCTGCCTCCCCTGCGTCGTTATCTCTTAACGGACGACGCAAGGTGCATGCACTGTTCCGCGATCGGGGGCGCTCGTCCCATGGCGGCTGGAAAGTGGATACCCCCATCGTGCTACTGTAGGCGTATAAATCTGGGGTAAGGCGTTCCCGACCGCGGAACAGTTTGTCGTATACCCATCGGTCGTTGAAAGTAGATATTTTTGGACTCCCAGATTCCACTCTGCTTTCAGCGCCTCCCTACTTCAGGAGTCGAGTGGTTTTCCCTCTTGCTTCCCCTTTCAGGAGGCGGACGGACACCCAACGTATTTCCAACGCCTTCCTACTTCATGTTTCTACCTGCTTCTTCCGACCGATGGGTACGGTAGGTTTGCGTCGTGTCGACCAGCGGCGACCCCAGCGCGGGCGTTCAAGGTTGAACGCCGCCGGCGACCCAGAATCGATCGATGTTGAACGATCGGACGTTGCGGAGACGGCCGATCGTTCAAGGTTGAACGATCCCCGCGGTGTCAGGAACCAACGCCGGGGTCGACACGACACGAACCTACCGTACCGTTCTTCGCCTGCTGAGTTTCCCCACGGCCGGCTCCGCCGAGGGCGCTCTCGTCGGCCCGCGCGCCCCTCCCGGAGAGGGCGGGCTCTCCGGAGGGCCGCGGTTGCGCTGCCGTGGCCTCGGCGCGCCCTCCTCCGACGGGAGAGTGCGCAAGAGCTTTCGGCGCTGCGCGCGGAGCTCCGCTGCCTCCTCCCTCCTCCTCCTCCTCCCTCCCTCCCTCCCCTCCCTCCTCCTCCCTCCTCCTCTCCTCCTCCCTCCTCCCTCCTCCCTCCTCCCTCCTCCTCCTTCCCTCCTCCTCCTCCTCCCTCCCTCCTCCCTCCTCCCTCCTCCCTCCCTCCTCCTCCTCCTCCTCCTCCTCCTCCTTCCCCAACTGCGCTTTATCATTATTTGGAGCACCCTGCTTAGAAGCACCCTGCTTCTAGAAGCACCCTGCTTCTCAGCAGGCGCGAGCCCTGTCTGAAGATGTGAGGCTGGCGCCTTCTAAGAAGCAGTCTTCTTCCAAGAAGCTTCCCCCCCCCCCCTGCGCCCCTCTGCGCGCCGCCAGTTACCTTACGTCTCCCCGGCAGTCGGGCGATCGCACACATGGATCAAGGGGGCGTGGATTAGCGGCGGGTCCCGTTTCCATGGGAATCGCGGATTTCCGCCCGCGAGCGAGGCGGCACCAACCGCACTTTGGGGAGGGCACCTCGCCGATCCATGGATTTGGCGACCGCGCGCCAAATCCATGGATCGCTAATCCATGCTTGCGCGCCCCCGCAGCATGAGGGGCCCTTCCTGGGTCATAAGGAATGCGCCCTCCGAGACCTCTGCCGGCTTTGCTGATGCAGCTGCTTCCACACTTGGGGCCGACGTTGGTCTGGCAGAACATCATGGGAGCCTCGCGTCGATTAGCGTCGATTGGCGTTTCGGAGTCGACGTTGTAGCGCCGATTTAGCGTCGGGTAGCGTCTATTAGCGTCGAGGTAGCGTCGATAAGCCTCAATTTAGCGTCGAGTAGCGTCGATTCGCAAGTGCCGAGAAGATCGTATGGGAGGCTCCCATGACATTTTCCACCGGACGTTGGGGTAGTGTGCCGTCTTCTCTTCTTCGAAGGACGGCGTCCCGTGGGACGACGCCGTCCGCAAGGGCCTCGCGGCGATGGTGCGGCAGGGCCTGACGCCGCGGATCGACATCGCCGCCGACGAGGGCCCAGGCCTCGCCGAGAGCGGGTGCTCCGCGGAGACGGACGGCCTTTGGTACGGCTGCGTCGCGATGAGCCGGCGCTGGGATACGAGCGTGATCCCGCAGGCCCTCGTCCGCGCGGCCCCGCCGGAGGATTGAATGATAATATTTAGACGGCTGTAAAGAATGAAAATCGTCGGGATCATGCTAAGACACACGATGCTGATACTAATGCACTGTGGTATCAGTAATGCTACGAATGATACTCATCATACTCATAGTAACAAGCATAGTACTACCACGATTTCTACTACTACTACTACTGCTGTTACTACTGCTGTTACGACGAGTACTATTACTATTAATCCTAATACCACTACGGCCACCACTACGACGAGCACTATTGATATTATTATTTTTTACTACCTCTACGACGGCGACTACTACTATTACTACCATTACTCTTACTCTGACTCTTACTAATACTACTAGTACTACTACTACCACTACTACTACTACTACGACTACTACTACTACTACTACTACTACTACTTCTATCACGACGACGACTACTACCACTACGACTACTCCTACTCCTATCACTACTCCTACTACGACTACGACTGCGACTGCGACTACGACTACGTCTGCGACTACGACTACGAGTACGACTACTATTAAGCAATACGGCTACTACTACTACTACTACTATTACTACTACTACTACTACTACTACTACTTCTCCTACTCTTTTTACTACTACTCTTACTGTTACTGTTACTGTTACTGTTACTGTTACTGTCACTGTCACTGTTACTGTTACTGTTACTGTTACTACTACTACTACTACTACTACTACTTCTACTACTACTACTATTACTACTACTACTACTACTACTACTACTGCTACTACTACTACTACTACTACTACTACTACTACTACTACTTCTACTACGACTACTACAACTACTACTACTACTACTACTACTACTACTACTACTACTGCTACTACTCTCACGACTACTGCTACTATTACTCATACTAACACGCATAATTGAAGTTTTAGTTGTATTCAGTCTCATGCGGCTATCCAAAATGAGCTCTAGTTCTGTCAGAGTTATTGGCAATCAGAAGTGTATCACTGGTTGTCCAAAGTCTAATACGACTATCCAGAATGAGTTCTCGTTCTGTTGTAGCCAAAGTGCGAAGAGCAGCCACACGAAGTCACTGCTAAGACGCAGGTGTGGCATACCTATCAGCGACTACCAACTCTCAGAACTCCGCGCGGATCTCGTAGATCGGCGCCGGGCCCTTCCCCGGCGGCGCCTCCGGCACCGTCCCAGGCGCGGGAGGGGGGCTCAGCGCCGATCCGCTGCGACCGGTTGCGTTACGAAGCCTGCCTGTGCGGGTCCAGTCCAAGTGACGCTGATGTATTCGGGAGCGAAAAAGAGGGGGGTGATGACTAGGGGGGGGTGGATATTATGGCGGGGCCCATGATATTTCCTCAGATTTCATGGCGCCTCTTCTTATTTCATTACGTCCCTGGTCCCCCCGCTGGGCCGCGCACATGCCGCCGGTCATGATTTGCCCCCCCCCCCCCCCCCCCCTTTGGACGCCCCCCTCTTTGCCGCCGCTCCCGGTGTATCGGACACCCCCGCTGGGGTTGGCTTGGCCATCGGCACGCGAATGCCGAGGGATCCTCTGAAGCAGTGCAGACCTCCAGAATTTTGTGTGTATGCCAGCCTTTTTCTCTTTCTTGGGATGATTGGGATAACGTACGAATGGAGTGCGCCAGAACTCGGGTTTGCCGATGCTTTTTGACAAGCGCATCCCAGATTTTGACGGTCCAGTTTTCGTGGGATGTCTGCAGCGGGAGCTCGAATCAAATTTCAGATTGGGTCTCGTCATTTTCATGATGGCCCCGTCAGGCCAATCCGAGTCCCACGAACCCGAGTCTTATCGGAAATTGGAGCATATACATTACCAGTGGCGGGCTGTCTTTGAATCCCAGGAATTTTCGAGGGTCGGGGACGACGTCGGGGTGGTGTGGTGTATACTTCTTCCCCGTTTTGCTTGGGAAACGGCCAACAACGTGTACACGAGGAGCCCGTATAGACCAGGATCCGCCATCGGCCTGTGCGAATTTCTGTGCGGGGTCGGAAAAGGCGTCGGTGTGTAGAGTTCGGCTCATTATCTTAAGTCTCCCCGAGAGGATTGGCCACGCGCAGAGGGGGGTATGGGGGAGGGGGGAGGACTTCTTTGAAGCACCCTGCTTCTCAGAAGGCGCGAGCTTTATCAGAAGATGTAAGGCTGGCGCCTTCTAAGAAGCAGTCTCCTTCTAAGAAGCATTCCCACTCCCCCTACACCCCTCTGCGCGCCGCCAATTATCTTACGTCTCCCCGAGAGTCAGGCGATCGCAAACATGGATCAAGGGGGCGTGGATTAGCGGCGGGTCCCGTTTCCATGGGATTTCCGCCGCCGAGCGAGGCGGCAAAGGCCGCACTCTTGGGAGGGCACCTCCCCCGATCCATGGATCTGGCGACCGCGCGTCAAATCCATGGATCGCTGATCCATGTCTGCGTGCCCCCGACGAGAGGAGCAGCTGGACATGACGCTGAAGAAGCTCGACACCTGCCACCGCCTCGCCCCCGACGCCTCCCTGCGCGTGCTCGGCGTGCGGAGCGGGCAGTCTGCGGACGCCGTGGTGATCCCCGCGCGCACCGCGAAGACGTGCTCGCTGGTCCCGGCGCGCGAGCAGCACCCTCACCCACAGGGGTCGGGTGTAGCCAGGACCCCAGATCAGTCGGGGGCGGCAGAGAGGGGGGTGATGACTGGGGCGGGTGGATATCATGGCGGGGGCCATGATATTTCCCAGACTTCATGGCGCCTCTGCTTATTTCGTTACGTCCCTGGCCCCCCCGCTGGGCCGCGCACATGCCGCCGGTCATGATTTGCCCCCCCCCCCCCCCTTGGACACCCCCCTCTTGGCCGCTCCCGAGTGCAGCCAGGACCCCAGATCAGGGGCCCTGGTTCGTAGTAGGGCCACGGAGCTCCGAAATGGGCCAGAGCCACCAAACCAGGTCTGTCGCAGCCGGTGTTTTTTCGAGCGGCGGCAGTTCCGGTCAGTGGAACGTGGCGGGAGGGCGTCCCCCAGTACACATCACTGGACCAGTTCCCACTAAACCCAGTTCCGCCAACGCCCGAAGGGGGGTTCGGCGGGAGGAGGACAGGCCACGGGTAGTCGAAGAAGGAAAAACGGCATGAACACAAACTTTTGGCGCTCCGCGCGAATTTCGTGGATCCGCGCTGGGCCACCTCAGGTGGCGCCTCGGGCGCCGCCCCTGGCGCGCTCCGTGCGCCAGGGAGGGGGGTCCAGCGCAGATCCAAGACATCCGTGCGGGCCCCCCAAAGCTTATGTTTACGCCGTTCTTTGTTCCTCTATCTGGGTATGTATGGGTGCGGGCTGTCGGGCCCTGGGGGAGGCTCCCGTTCGCGCGGGGACCCCCATCCGACAGCACGCACCCCTGGCCCCTTCCGGCCCCCCTGTTGGTAGGGGTGTGTGTGTGTGTGTGTGTATGTGTGTGTGTGTGTGTGTGTGTCTGTGTGTGTGTGTGTGTGTGTGTGTGTGTGTGTGTCTGTGTGTGTGTGTGGGTGTGGGTGGTGGGTGGGTGGGTGGGTGGGTGGGTGTGTGGCTGTGTGGCTGTGTGGCTGTGTGGGTGTGTGTGTGTGTGTGGGGTGTGGGTGGTGGTGTGGGGTGGGGTGTGGGGGTGTGGGGGTGTGGGGGTGTGGGGGTGTGGGTGTGTGGGTGTGTGGGTGTGTGGGTGTGTGTGTGGGTGTGGGGGTATGGGTGTGTGGGTGTGTGGGTGTGTGGGTGTGTGGGTGGGTGTGTGTGTGTGGGTGTGTGGGTGGGTGGGTGTGTGGGTGGGTGGGTGGGTGGGTGGGTGTGTGGGTGTGTGGGTGTCTGTCTGTCTGTCTGTCTGTCTGTCTGTCTGTCTGTCTGTCTGTCTGTGTGTGTCTGTGTGTGTGTGTGTGTGTGTTTTGCTCGCTCGTTAGGTCTGGCGCCCCGGCGAGGGCGTCATGTGGACGGCCGAGGCCACGGCGCTCTACTGCGCGACCACGCCGGGGAGCTCCGGGGGGGGGGGGTAGGCGGCGCCGCTGCCGCTGCCCTTACAAGCCGGGCCCGTCCCACTGCAGGAGGAATCTTCAAACATTGTTTTTGGATTATTTTTCGGGTATTTTTTTTCGGAGTATTCAACATTGTATTTGGAATATTCAACACTAGATGTTTTTTTGTGACTCTTTTGGAACATTTGGTTCTGAACATTTTCCGGGTATCCATGGTTTTTCGCCCACAAGCCTCCTGTAGTGGGACAGGCCCGATGGGGGAGACGGCGCCGATGCCGCTACCCTTAAGCTGGGCCCGTCCCACTGCAGGAGGAATATTCAAACATTCTGGACGCCCGAGATGGGCACGGAAGGAATGGGTACGATGCCCGACAGCAGTTCCTGTCCACTTTGAGCAGGACTCGCTGTCCGCGCCGCCGCGGCCCGTGTCCATTCGAGGCAGAAGGCCGCCTGCCCAACAGCGGCCGCTGTTGGTTTGGGACAACATTTGCTGTTGGGCATTGTACCCATTTTTTCCGTACCCATTCCGGGCGTCCAAAAACATTTGAGATGTTTTTTTTGTGACTATTTTTGAACATTTGGTTTTGAACATTTTTCGGGTATCCATGATTTTTCACCCACAAGCCTCCTGTAGGGGGACAGGCCCGACCTGACGCTTCCCTGGCCTCCTTGTCGCCCTTCCGTGGGCTCCCCGGGGGGCTTTCGTCGCCACGTGGCCGGAGCCGCCTTTCCAGAGCCTGGTCAGAAGGCGTCCCGGGAGAGGTCTGGGCAGTCGCGGTAATCGGGGGCCCCCAAACGGTGTGGTGACCACACCGTTCGGTGAGTCGGTGGGGATTCGAGGTCACCGCACGGTTTTGGGACTCGAGTCCCTCTCCGAGGATGTCTCGGGCGACATGGGCCTCCAGGGTCCCAAGACCGTGCGGTGACGGACCGTGCGGCGAGGTCTCTTAGGGTTCCGAGGTCACCGCACGGTCTGTCACCGCACCGTTTCGGGACTCCAAAGGTAATCATCCAGACGTCCGATGTGTTGGTTTTTCAACTGCGGGATCCCCCGGAATCCCGACCCGTTCCCCTCAGAGGAGGAAAAGGTACCCCTACCTCTACCCTTCGGCCGCTTTCCCCTTTTTGGGGCCTCCTGGGAGGCCCTCGTCGCCACCGCTGGATTCGCCTCGAAATCCTGGTCAGAACGCACCCCGGGAGAGGTCCGGGGGGTAACGGTATCGGTACCTTTTGGTTTCCCCATTTTTGGGGCCCACCTCATTGATTTGTTCGACTCTCTCTAGTTCGATTCAGGGTCGATTCAAATCGACGGCCGGCCGACGCAGCTTCGACGCCCGAGTGGAGCGAGTGTCTCCAGGAAGGTCCCCAGAATGAGCATCCAACCGGCGGTCACGTCGGGCACGTCCCTCTGCACGGGGGATCTCATTCCTTTTGGTTTCCCCATCCCTGATGGGCCCTGCCTTCATCCCTACAGCTTCGTGCTTCTGGCGGCCCTGTATAGGGCCCACCGGGGGGCCCCGGAGGCCGAACGTGTTCAAGATTTTCTCCACGTTTTTTTTTGTTTTTGTTTTTTTTGTTTTTGTGTTTTTTCTTGTTTGGTATATAGATATAATAGTTTTATTATATATATACATTAACTATTATTTTTTGTTTCCCCCCCACGACGGGCATGTCTGCGTTTGTCGGGGGCAACGACAGGAGGGGATAGGCAGATGGGGGGGGGAATCATTGACCCCCAGTCAATCGCCCATGGATCGCCGATCGGGGCCCGACAGCCCCCACCTGCCCAGGAAAACGTGCGGATCCGCGATCGGGTACCTATCTCCGATCTACCGGCGATGCATCCCCGATTCCAGGCCGAGGTGTCCCTCCGATGCCTGCGCGCCTTCTTCCTTCTCTCCCCGCGCGGCCGCCCTCGTCTTCTCCCCTCTGCCCCCTGCACGCCCAGGAATTTGCCGATCGGTGCCCCCGACAGGCCACACGCTGGTGCGGATCGCCTCTGCCTCGCCGCCGACGGAGCAAAAACCATCTGCCAGTCCACCCCTTCTCGTGGCCCCTCAATGTTTCTCGTCTCCCCACCTCCTCCCTCCTCCTCCTCCTCCTCCTCCTCCTCCTCCTCCTCCTCCTCCTCCTCCTCCTCCTCCTCCTCCTCCTCCTCCTCCTCCTCCTCCCCTCCCTCCCAGGAGCTGCACCACGACGCCGTGCGAGTGCAAGCGGGCGTCCGACCGGAGGCTGGAGCTGCGCACGGCGCAGGGGCGGCGCTGCTGGGCCTGCGCCGAGGCCGGCCACGAGCACAGCTTCCGCGTGAGCGCGCTGGCGGAGAAGATGGAGGGCACCGGGTTGCGCGTAAGTCGGGCGTGTCCTTTGTGGGCCCCGGAAACGGCAGGGCCGTTTCTCTAGGCCTGCTAGATGGGGTCGGAGTAGATGGGGTCGGAGGATCGCGCCGCATCGGCGATACATCGCCGATGCGGCTCGATGCGGAGCCCGATTTTCTCCACGCCGACGTCGCCGATGCGTCGCCGACGTCGGCGATGCACCGTCGGTGCATCGGCGATGCATCGCCGATGCATCGCCGATGCATCGCTGATGCATCGCCGATGTATCGCCGATGCAGCGCGATCCTCCAACCCTATCTACTCCGACCCCATCTAGGAGGCCTCTAGTTTTTCACCGTTTCCAAAAAAATATCCCTTGAAAATGGAAACGGCAAAAAAACGGCGACCGGAAACCCCAAAAAACTGCTCCAGGATTGGAACCGGAGCCGTAACCGGTCAAAAAACGGCGACGGAACCGGTAAAACAACGGCGTCGGAACCGGCAACAAAAACGGCAAAACGGAACTGGTAAAAAAAACGGCCCTCTGGTTTCCAGGGCCCACGAAGGGCGTGTCCCCATACAGGAGGACTCTTCAGAAATAGTCAGCAGGTAGTCTGGGGACGATGTTTCGACTCATTCGGACTATTGTTGCATGTGTGTTGGCTATCTTGTTTTCGGTCCAGAATCCACCTGTAGGAGGACACGCCCGACCTGAGGTCGGCATCCCCCCAACATACTTATATACTATGTCTTCGTCGCCCCCCCCAGGGGCGACGCGCGCACCGAGGAATCTTGTAGCATGTGCGTCGTGGCGGGCGCTTTCTGGCCACACCGCTCGAGAAACGATACACTACAAGATGGGCATACTATATGTTCGGGTCGGACGCGCGCCTCCAAGGCGGACATGTAGTATTACTATGTCTCTGTGCGTCCCATGAGGCTGCGCTCGGCGGCGAGCGAGGGGGGGGAACCGAGAGGGGGCGGGCCTTCCCAGAGGGCTCGGAGGTCCCCCCAAGCCTTCCGAGAAGTCTTCTCTAAACTTTTTCCCCGAAGACGCAGAAAAAAAACCCTCGGAAGTCGCGAGGGCTTCTGGGGAGTCCCGCCGCCTTCAAAAGGAGGTCCAGCGACAAGGGGGTGGTGCAATAGAGCAGATTTGTGGGGCGCGAAATACATTCTGTGGCGCAGATGTATTGCTGGATTTCGCGTGCAATGCATTACCTGCAATACAATGCAATACAATTCTCCGGCGCAATACGTTTGCAGCACACTTGCCCCAAATCTATTGCACCACCCCCTTTCTGCTGGACCCCCTCTTGGGCCACCCAAAGAGATGGCCTCCTCCTTCTCATTCCCCCCCTTCGCTCGCCGCCAGTACGCGTGAGTTGCGCTGCATCTTCGGGCGACCTCGCCTGGCCCCTATACTTCGTGGGTCCCCTTTTTGCTGTGCCCGACGCGGCTTTTGCGTGGGCCCGACGCGAAGTCGGCACGGATTCGACGCGGACCCGACGAGTCCGACACGGAGTCGACACGGATTCGACACGGATTCGACGCGGAAGGGGGCCACGATGGGACAGACGAGGTCCCGGGAGGCTACGCTCGACCTAAAATAGGTCCGACGCGGAGTCGGCACGGATTCGACACGGATCCGACGAGACCGACATGTATTCGACATGTATTCGATTCGGATAGGGCCAGGATGGGACAGACAAGATCCCAAGAGGATGCAACATAACGAAAGAGCGACCTTTCGCCGGAGTCACCTCTGGTGCGGGCTCAGACCCAGACCCCCTCGCGTCGTGACAACCTCACGATGGGAGGTGTTCCGATATGTGCGGCCTCGGGGGGCCCTTACCGGGCCTCGGGACCGTCCACAACTCATTCGGGATGAAAAACCGGTCCCGGTCCCCGGGGGCGATAAACGTGGGGGGATCGATGAGGAGGAGGAGGAGGAGGAGGAGGAGGAGGAGGAGGAGGAGGAGGAGGAGGAGGAGAGAGGGAGAGAGGAGAGCAGGAGCAGGAGAGGAGCAGGAGGAGGAGGAGGAGGAGGAGGAGGAGGAGGAGGAGGAGGAGGAGGAGGAGGAGGAGGAGGAGGAGGAGGGGGAGGAGGAGGAGGAGGAGAGAGAGGGGAGGAGGGGGGGGAGGAGGAGGAGGAGGAGGAGGGAGGAGAGGAGGAGAGGAGGAGGAGGAGAGAGGAGGAGGAGGAGGAGGAGGAGGAGGAGGAGGAGGAGGAGGAGGAGGAGCCGTAGCCATTTTGGCTCAAGTCCGTAGCGTTTCGCTCAGGGCTTGGCCTGCCTGGCAGGGGGGAATTCGCGGCCCCCGCCATTTTTGACCCTTGGGTCAGCATTCTCCATACTGTAACTCCGCGCCGTGGGCGCAACATCAGTCATTACGTCTCCTTGGGGTGCTCGCCTGCGGCCACGGCGCTCATGGGAGGCGAAAAGGAGAGGGTGCGAAGTGACTGGTACTGCAAGGACTGTACGGTCAAGTGGGGCTCTCAGAAGGGCAAGCGCGTGTGCAACCTGGGCATTCATCTTCATTGTAAGCAGTGTCAGATGCACAAGCGCAACGTCTTCGGTGGGAATAAGGAAAGTGGACCCCCCAGCAAACACTCAACAACTAAGGCTGCCCCGACCACGCCCTGGGAGACTAAACGTGTCATTCAGCAGCTGGAGGCAAATATCACTGAGTTGCGTGCTCAACTACGTGAACGACAGCTTCCACTGCAGTCTTGCTCCGAGCAAGTCGAGCCCACGGTGGAAGTTGATGACCAGGACGATGACTCCTTGGACAGGCAGCTCGCAGTTTTGGACACAAAGTTGCAGAAGCTCCCTGAGGCTCTGGTCAAAGAAATACCTGAGTTGGCAAATGCCAGAAAGGAGCTGGTGGCACAGCGGGACAAACTTCAGCTGGAAAGACGAGAACGTAAGCCTGTTGGTGTGCAGATCAACGAGGTCAATCGCAAGCTCTACCAGCTGGATCAGAAGATTCAAAAAGCTGAGGCCGCGGCCGACCAGAGGCAGACGCAACTCAAGCTGCTGCAGGAGGCAATCGAGGAAGACCAGACCAACCTGGCCGCTCTTCGTCAGCAACAGGTCACACTTGAAGGCCAGCGTGCGCAAGTTGCCGCCGCTGCTCTTCGGCCGCCCGCTCAGGCGGCAGAGGGAGCTACGGTATCGGCACAGGGTGCCCTCTTCAAGCTGGATACGTTGGAAGCAGTTCTCAAAAAGCATGGTGTGGAAGGTGAATTGCTATCCAAGATTGTTCAAGAGGAGGATTTGGCGAAGCTGGTTCAACCCGTGGTGGCAGAACCGGCAGGTAACCTCCTACCTCGGCAAGTGGATGCGGCCGCTGGGGTATCAGACATGGTGGTGGAACCAGAGGTACCTGCAGATACCCTTCCTAGTCTCCGTGAGGCCGACGAGGAGGCTCTTCGCAATATCTTTGTCGATTCAGGGGTTGTCGACTCAGAGGCTGTTGCGAAGTTGGATCTCGGGAAATTACGTGCTGCAGCTAACCTCATGCACGAGCGAGTATCACGCTACAGCCCATGCGAGTGAATGGGCATGGTGGTATTGTGATGGTTTTTGGCAATGTTTCTTTGGTTTGACCATGACGTGTACGATTCATGATGGACAACAACAGATGGACATTCTTGGCGATTTCTGGCAGCTGTACGTGGTATCACGTGAAGAGTTGAGCGGGGCAACGTCGAGGTTGGCCACGCTATTTACGGCAGCAGAATCCTTTCTGAGCTCGCAGCCAGGCAAGGAGGTGGCAATATCCGAGTTTGCTTTTGCTGCGCCCGCTGCAAAAGAACCCCCGTCCTCTGAGATCCAGGACTCCAGAGCTCTCGGCGTCCTTGGATTGCCTGCTCGGCCTAACGGCCACTGCACGGCCTTCTCTCAGGGGGAATTGCCTCGTCGCCAAAAAGGGAAAGGATGCTGGAAAAGAACGAGACGGATCAAGGCTCAGGCAGAGCCGCCTTCCGCCATGGGTCGTCCACCTCCTGAACTGTTTGACCATGTTCGCGAACAACGGGAGCAGGCCACGGACGATTACGTCACTTTGCGTCAGGACCTACAGTCTTGGGCAGCCACGTGGATGGATGACTTGGTGTTCGGTCCGCGAGGCGACAACAACTGGAGGCGATGGTGCGAACCCTTCCTGGATGAGATGTTACGGCGTGGAAGCAATCATGGGCTTAGGGTTGCTCTTTTACGCTGGTGTCCACACCGTACTCTTGCTCAGACCATTGAGGAACTATGCGCCAGGGCTTGGAGGCAGGCAGCACCTCGTCGTACGGCCTTTTTACAGCGACTTGCAGATCTGCCAAATACGGATAGATATGAGGTCGAGATGCGTCACTGGCGTGAATTTGCTGAGCTTCGGGCCATGATGAGAAGATTGCTGCAGGCACGTGCGCCCACGCCTAACTATCACCCTGCCCCCCGCCGCCCTCACCAAGATGATGGAGATCAGGCTGTTGATGTTTTGCAGGAGGGAGAACATGGGCCAGGTCAAGGTAGCCTGTCAGTACCAGGCCTACCGCTACATCGTGATACCCGTGGCGGTCACGAGGGGCGTCGGGTGCAGGGATGGCTTACTACGGTCAATGTCACGGGCGCTGGCTCACTTATTGGTTATTTGTCTCAGGAACCAGAAGGCAAGGTGTTCGCGGTGCAAGAGCACCATGCTCATGGAGATCGGCTGTTATCCGTACAAAGACAGGTTCGAGGCCTAGGATACCATGGATGTTGGTCACCAGCTTCGGTCACAGAAGCAGGCGGCACGAGAGCAGGGGTAGCTGCGTTGGTCACAACTGATATCACGGTAACTGAAGCTGGATTTCGCGCGCAGGTGGATTTACCTGAGGATAGGTTTGTAGCGGCACACCTTCACTGGGGAATACCAAAAGGCATCGTCGCAATGAGCGTGTACTTATACGACGACCAAGGCCTCGACGCGGACAACATGGCCATCATATCAAGCATTTTGAAGTATGTTGGGCTGCTCAACTTCTTGGGTATGGATTGGATTGTTCTGGGAGGTTGGAATTTACAACCTGAGGTCTGGGCTGACGAATGGCTAGAACAGGTGCATGGCTTTCTTCTCTTCTCCGAGACTTCCACTTGTCATAAGAGCAGGTTGGGCGCGGTTTTGGACTATGCGCTAGTGGCCAATAACCTTAACACGCGCATGCAGAAGCCAGAGGTGGTGCATGACTCTGCAATAGCTACACACATTCGCCCGTTAGATTTTCGCTGTTGACACATGATATCCCGACATGGCGTAGGGTAATTGACGAACCGCGAGGGTTCGGATCAGCTCCTCCTAGTGGTTGTCCGTACTACCCTCGGCGTGGTGCATGGCGTCAAGCTCGATTGGCAGTATTGGACGCGCATGACAACACGTCGCTGCAGGTGGCCTGGGACGAAGTGGTACAGCAGATCGAACTGGAGTTGGCTGACAGGTCGCAGCTTCGAGGGGCCAACCATCGCAAACATCTTGGACGTGCTGGTGACGTGTCATGGAGGTGGGAAAAAGTAGCGTGGCAACCACCACGGAAACGTACCCATGTATCTCAAGATGTGAACTGTTGGCAGGTTGCAGAGCGGTGGGCATCTCACCTAGTGTAAGTAAGAGCCCATCTTGGAGAGCATTGTCAACGTATGCAGAGTGCACATGCTATTTGCCCAGTCTCGTCACAGCAATGCGGGCATGTGGTAAAAATCGTCAAGGAAGTTGCGATTTTCTTAAGCAAGGTTGCGGGTGCTAAGCGGATTCTTGCAGGGCTTACTGATGGGGTTAGAACGTTCTTCACTTCAGGTATTGCGGTCTTCTTGCATGACGACTTCGACGATATGGTTCAGTACATAGTAGAGCAGGCTGGCATTTTCACCAAGCAAGCTGTTTCCGATAAGTATAAGGCATGGAAAGATTGGGCAGATCGTGCCTTTCTTCGTGGTGCTAGTGCTGCTCATCGGTTTACTAAGGTACAACAGGCGCCTGAGAGATTGAAGCCTATGGTGTATGGAAGTCCTCATGCCTTAGCAGATAGGGAGATGGTTACGTGGCGCGAGGTATGGCAACATCACGGGTATGAGCTACCCAACAGGCCTGCTGATTTTACTTCGTGGCCCAAATTGCCAGCGATCAGTGTTCCTCAACTGCGGGCGGCTTCTCTTTCCTTTCCTGAGCGCGCGGCTGTGGGACAAACGGGGGTTGCACCGAGAGCGCTATGGCACGTGTCAGATGAGGGCTTGGCGGTGGTCAACTTGTTGTTTTTTGCGATGTGAAGATCTTGGTTGGTGGCCTGGGGAGCGCATTGTCAATATTCTCGTTAGGCTGGCCAAACCTGACGGGGGAAGTCGTCTCATATGCTTGGTCAACACTTTACTACGGCTATGGGCACGCGTCTGATCCTCGGTGGCCAAGCGTTGGATTCTGAATGCCAAGATACCCAACATTTGGGGAACAGGTGGCGCTGGGAGGTCCTCGACAGCTTCGGCGGTGGATCACAATATTACAGCGGAAATGGCGTTTTATCTGGGTGAGTTCTCGGTGACAGCTCTTCTCGGTGCATGGGAAGCGTTTGAGTCGGTTTCGCCGTCTGCTCTTTTGGATCAGTCTCGGCTGGAAGGTTTTCCTGTCTTGCTTGCGTGGATGACGTTACAATACCATTTACAACCCAGAACGCTTAAATGTCATGGATCTCTCTCTGTATGGTACAGATCTGCTCAAGGCATCCTAGCAGGGTGCAGTATGTCCACAACTATGCTGACGGTGCTCACAGCAAAGGCCATCCGACGACTTGCTAGAGACGATATTATACCACGAGCCTTGGTGGATGACGTGTCGGCGCAGTGGGTTGGTAGTTCGCTACAGCAGCTCAGAGGCTTCTGGGCGGCTCTGAAAGGCTTCACCTTTGATGTTAAGGATGTAGGGCTCGTTATTCAGGCTAGCAAGTCAGGTTTTGTTGCTACGTCTGCCGCAGTGATCAAGGCATCTAAGGCGGCCTCTGGTTATTGCCACATCCCTTCGAAGCCGCACATGCGGAATTTGGGGCATGAGTTACATGGGCCAGTGATTAGGCGTACTATTGCCAAGAAGCGGTTGGCAAGTCTCAAACAACGTGCGCATCGGGTACATGCATTTCGACGCACGGTGGGTACCAAAGTTACGCGATTGTGGAGGACTGGGCTATTGCCGTCGGTGGCTCACGGGTCGTCGGTCAGCGGCGTGTCTGACAAGGAGCTGGAGATCATGAGGAACATAGCCGCCACTATGGCGGGCTACCCCAAGCGTGGAGCAAGCAGTACACTCTACTTGGCGACTAAGCGAGACCCATGGTATGATCCCATCTTCGACGCAACGACTGGGCCGATGTTCTATTACCATAGATTGGTGTGGGAGCAGCTGGTTGTCTTGGGCAGGTTAGGACGGGCCTGGCAAGCGGTCGACGCCACTTCTCTCAGTTGGAGGACGGCTCGAGGCCCGATTGGTGTAGTCAAGTTGTCCCTGCACAGGGTAGGATGGCGCATGTTGTCTTCGACAGTGGTGCAAGATGATCAGGGATGCAGCTGGTCACTTTTACAAGTTGCCCCGCTCCTACTTCGTGATTTACTTCGAGCAGGGATTCAGCGATATCAGATGCAACGTATCCTGGCACATCACGAGCAGCGGGAGCCTGGCACGATCTTGTGGGCGCGCGGGCTGCGTGCTTGCCTGGGCGGACCGGCCACGGTTAAAAACCCAAAAACGGCTGGCGCGCTCAGGGCCTTATGGTCTGGGTCGCTGTGGACTAAAGTACGTCTAGCGGCGCACAACATGGTCGGCGATACAAGGTGTCGTGCCTGCCTAGACCACGACGAGACGATTGGCCACGTCTGTTTCAAGTGCGATGCGGTTAACAAGTGGCTATTGGAGGGTGAGGATGAACATCCCATGCCTGATGAGCTTACGTCTTTTCGCGACTCGATCTTGCAGAATGGGGCCATCAGTCGGCCGAGCGTCAGCGACGAGTGCTTCGAGCTTAGTGTAGGGCTCCCGCAGGTGCCAGGAGACTGGCAACATGCAGAACCTGACCCTCCTGTGCACTACTGGGGATCTTGGACTGGGTCGCCAGAAGACTGGCCAAGCGTAGTTTTTACGGACGGCTCGGCCATCCCATCCAGCATTCCAGAATTGAGACGTTGCGGCTGGGCTTGTGTCCAAATGTCTTCTGATGGATATCCAGCTCATGCTGTCTATGGAGGTCTTCCAGGGGTGCAGCAAACTATTGGAGCAGCAGAGAGGCACTGCGTCCTACAGGCTCTACGGCACTTTCCTGGAGTGAAGCTATTGGTCACAGATCTCTCGGCGCTCGTCATTGAAGGCAACCGTTGGGACGAGCATGATGCGCTCGCTGGCGCACGTCATGCTGGCATATGGAGGGCTATTCGCAACTTTGCTCAAGCCTGGAAAGTTATGCCTCCTACTTTTGGCTGGTGTCCCTCTCATCTTGACCTGGATGAGGTGGCGGCTGGAGTTGCTAAGCGTGAAGCTAACTTCGACTGGGTCTTGGGAAACGCCTGGGCTGATCATTTTGCGAAGCAGGGCGCGAAGGACATCGGATATGCAGAAGGTTACTGCGACTTGTTCAAAATAGCGCTGGCTCAAGCTAAGTTGATGTCCAGGTATCTGGGGTTCACGCTATGCAGGTTGTTCCAGCAGCAGCTCTGGGATTCTCAAGGTCGCCAGGTGCGAGTTCCATGCTTTCAGCCACGAATCACGGTGCTGGAGCATATTTTTTGGAGATCTGATGTCTACGCAGAATCTCGGTGCAGGCAGTGTGGGGTGCGTGCTGCTACTACGACTCACCTAAACAACTTGGGCTGGGGTATTCGTAAGCACTGTAGTGCATCGGAACATCAAAGATTGCAGTGTGACATCTTTTTCGGCACTCCCAAGGGCCTTACTTACCAGCCTGTGCGCAGCGAGGCAGTGAATGAAGCTGTGCAGCTAGCTGATGCCCTACTTGGTAAGGACATTTCAGAGCAGGTTGTGGTGGATTCGTCAGAGGTTCCTCAAATGGCGGCGCACACCTTTTTTTCAGACCAAGGCCACACATTGCAATGGGATGGTCTGGCATGTGTTTGCGTTCGCTGTGCAGGCTCGTCTACTGACGTCGCAAAGAGGGTGCTTAAGCTCAAAGAAGTTTGCCCTGGTGCGTCTAGAGATCCCGCGGTCAGGAATAACCAGATCAAGTGGATTTGTCGATTTGCCAAAGCGCGTTCCATCGAGTTCCACACGTCGGTGACGGCCCAGATGAGGCTGTGACTTTTTTTGTCGTGGGCGAAGGTGAGGACCTCGTCTGCTTTGACCAGCGGATGTTCGTGCCGTGCGCGCATCCTGGAATACTGGTGCGCCAGGTTCGTATCTTGCTGGATTCCTTTGCTGATCTTGTGGTTGGCTTGGGAGTTCAGGTTGTGGATGCGATGTCTGATCACATCTACTGTTGTTGTACTGGGGGCGTGCTGCTTTTTCTAGTACTGGGCCCTGTGAATCGCCCGCGTGGCCCTATGCAGGGAGCGGGCGCATCAACGAGGGTTTCGTTTCGTGGTACTGGAGGCTTTGAGCTCTGTCAGGTATCGATACTGGACTTCGTGCATTGCCCGCGTGGCCCTATACAGGGAGCGGGCACATCGGCGAGGGTTTGGTTTTCTTCCGCGCGGTGTACTGAGGTGCCGCGTCGTTCTGAGA